TATTATTGAAGATTGCAATTTCCAACATCCAACCAACCTTCTGAGAAGCAGAGCAGAGAGGAAAGAAGAAAGGTAAAGTGAAGATGGGAGCAGAGCAGGCACTTAAGAGAATTCCACGCATTAAGTTCCCTCAAAGGCACTGTAAACCCCCTGCTTCGGGTTACTCTTTTCTCACTCTTTTTCTGTTTTCCTTTTGGGTTTCATCATCTCATCTCTGCCTTTTACTGTGTTGCTTACTATTCTACAATTGTGTTCTGAAATCAGCCTCTGGGTTTCCTTTATCTACCTTAAAAGATCTGTCTCGGGGAGTTTCTTGAGCGTTTAATTGAAGTCACTAACTTTTGTTTCAATTCTTTCTTTCCTCCTACGTTTCAATATCAAGCTATTTAAGCTGTTTCTTTGTTGATTTCGCATGTTGTAAATGGTCCACTGTGAACTGCTGATACTGGATTTAGTATATACTTGTTGATGGGAATAAGTTTGAGTAGTTAGTTATTCACCCTTTTAATTCGGACCGAGAACCGAAAGATCGGCTGTTGGCCTGTTTTGGAGAGAGAAGTGAGTGAATTATCACGAGGAAGGAGGGTCGACTGGTTATAGATGGTTCGTTCTTCCTCTTCGTCTTGATTGGTTATTTAGAGGGACTCAGTGTCAATAGTATGGCTATTATGGCTATTTTTAAGTTAACAGGTTAGGTAGATCTGGTAGTCCGATTTTGGATTTCGTTATGATGCATTATGTGGCCTGTCTATGGTCTTGTCCATGTATTGTAGTTGATCAGAGATCTGTGTTTAGAGAATATAAGCAAGTTGAAAGTTCGGAGGTTTCCGGAGATCTACTCCGTATACAGATTTCTTATTCTTCCCAGGGAGTTGCCATTTTGTTATCTGAGCATTTTTGGGATGGATCTGATTAAGGTTCCAACATGCACCAGCCTTACCTGGTAAAAAGGAAACAGAATCCCAAAATAGATTTCATAGTCAAGATTCGAACCCTAAATCCAAAACAATAGCATGTATTGGAAACAAAATAGCTGTAAGATGCGAAGCAATACATGTTGAACATAACAACTCCTGAGAGCTATGCAATCTACCAAATTTGGCTGTGATACTTGTAGTATTGAAACGTTGCTGATGTAGTTCTAGTGAGTTAGAGATTGAAATTTTACGAACTTCATTTTCTTTTCCTTCGGATGATTAAGGATGGATTGTTTCGAGTTGTTTCAGACCAATTATTATATAATCTGTATACAATCCTTGAGTTGAATGAACTAATATTTCTTCTACTGAGTCATTAACTCTTAACTAGAGGTGGCAGACGAGTGGATCAGGTTCGTTTCTAGTCGATTTTGAGTTGTTTCAGATTTGAAAATTTTCATCTTTTAGGTTTGAGCTATGTTTAGGGAAAGATGTAGCGCCATGTTTGCGTATTCCAAATCACTTTTAAAGTTTGTGTTGTTGTGTAGGATCTATTGCTGAAAATCAAGCAACAAGTAAACGTGCAGACATCGTCAATGGATTGATTGCAAGGTCAAGTTCAGACGTTCCTGCTCCACCTGTCAACACTGCTGCTGGAGGAAAAGCATCTCTTTTACCGAAACGTACTCCTGTCTCCGAGAGGGAGATCGAGGCTATTCTGGTAAGTAAAATGATCTCCTGCAGTCTTAGATTCTTGCTTCATTGGAACGTAGTTAATCCTTTAGAGTTAAACCATATGAATCCAGAACTTAATTTAGTTGGCTTATGCTATCATCCTTAGGAGTTGGCTATGTATCATCTAGCAAGTTTGAGATTAAAACCTCAGCATTTCCCTTATTCTTGATCTGCAACCTTTTTAACAACATAAATAGGTAAAATAAACACCTAGTGCTGATTCTAACCTGTATTACATTCCACCACCTTGCAGTTAGGGGGCTGCTTCTGAGTTTTCAGCCGACAATGCTAGCATTTCAGAAGCTCGGAATGAAAACTTCTTGAATGTTACTCTTCTCCGGTGTGATGTGATCTTAGTTTTCAGAATGTACGTAAATAATATGTAAAAGAATTGTTTCCTAAAGTTGAGAGATAAAAACATCAAAATTGATCTTTAAAAACCGTTTTCGGTGAGACATCATTCTCGATGAAATAATATGTTGCAGTCGTTTTCTGTTTCATCTTCTCACGATGTTACTGATTTTGCAAGAACTGTGACAAGTCCTCCCGTCGAACTACTAAACCTTTGAAATCCTCAACGTCAAACTAAACTTTCCAGGCCCTTTGTGCAGACAGAGCATTCCTTGGTGGTTGATGACTATTTTCGTTTCATCTGCTTCGTTATTATATTGATCTCTCCTTTCAGCACATTGTCACAAACAATAACAATCAGGATTACTTATGTAACACGAATCAACTTACTTCTTACTTTTGTGGTTAAAGGAATAGTTTTTATTCTAAGAGGTTACGGGTTTGAGCACCAACGGATACAACGATCATTATCAAATGATTGAGAGTATTTAGAACAGATATTACTTTGTAATCACATTAGCTTAATAAAAGAGAGAGAGATTACCAATGTATTGTTGGCAGGCTTTCAATCTCCAGTCGCAAGCACACCTTCCACATTGGTTGCGAAACAGTTGTATTCCGCCATAAAGTTCTTGATCGATTATCTTGCTCCACAACCAACTTATCTGCCACATTGGTTGTGAAAAGGATAGGAAATATTTAGCCAATAACACACGTTAGACCAAACTATCCGAAGAACACTAGTAAGTTGTAACTACCTTAAGCCAATTTTTTTTGGCAAAAGGGTACGTGAGCCATTGTACTTTTATAACAAATCCAATGTAGTCATCGTATTTTTTTACATTTAAATTGGCCTTCAAACTTAGAAAATAAATTTAACGTGGCCCTTTGACCAACTGTTTACGTCGTTGACTATTACACTGTTGATGTGGCAATCCACGATGCTGACGTGACAATTCACGATGGTTGTTGACATGATTGATGATGTGGTAACAGACTAAATTGATTTTTAATTGAGTTCGAGCTCTAATTAATTTTTTAATTATGGACTTATTTGATTTTTAGAAAAAAAATATTTCTAATTTAAAATAAAAATTGCTCAAAAATTAAATATCAAAAATAAAAATTAAATTACTAAAAATAAAAAATATTATTATATTTTCCTTTAATTTAACTTGATTTTTATTTATATACACATGAATTTTTCATCCTATATAAATTTATTTTATCTATTTACCCCTAATTATCTTATAAACTCTAAATGTCTTTCTAATTCGATTTCATTAAATTACACTAAACTTTTATAAAATGAATTGAATAAAATTGTAGTCTTATAAAAAAAAATTTAAAAGTTATAAAATTAAAATTTATATATAAATTAGCATAAATATATAATTAAAAATTAGAAAATTATTATACAATAAAAAAGAATATTTTAGTGAATATAACATGATAGAGAAAATAAAATTCACTAAATATGAAATCCACGAGTTTGAAATTTTTTATTATCCCTAATATTTTTTTTAATTTTTCAAGGAATAGAAAAATTGTTTGTATTGAATAAAAAAATCTCTCGTTAAGATTGACATGTATGAACATAACAATATAATTGTACGGTTAAATAAAATAAATTCATATTAGAATTCATCTCTAAATTGAATAAATCATTTAACAAGAACATTTTCAATCATTACCTTTTATTTGTGTATTTTTAATTTTTTAAATAATTTAATTTCTATTTTTACTATTTTTATATTTAATTTTTTTCTATATTTATATAGTTTAAATTAAAATTTTAAAAATTAAATATTTTTCTTAAAAATCAAATAAGTCTTTGAATTAAAAAGAACAATTTGACCATTGAACTAAAAAAAATCAATTTAACTCATCGGCTATATCATCAGCTACATCACTAGTCATTTGGATTATCACGTCAGTACCGTAACGGTTAATAACGATAAGCTTGTTTTCTAAGTTTGAAGGTCACATGGGTGTGGAAAAAAAATACATGGTTCACGTAATTTTTTTTTAAAAAAATTACGTACCCTTTTGCTTATATTTTAACTTATCTGAAAAATTACCACAAAAACAATTGAATTGTTCCACATTTGAAAATTATAGTAGCAAAGGATGGTTGGAATTAGGGATGGCAACTCAACCCGAATCCGACGGGTTTCGACCTGACCTGACCCGATCGGGTAGGATTTTTTTAAAATAATTTCGGATTCGGGTCAGGTCGGGTCGAGTTTTTTTAAATGCACTGTTCGGGTCGGGTCGGGTTTAGGGTAAAAAAAATCCGACCCGACCCGACCCGAAAAATATATATAATTTTATCTTATATATTTAGGGATAATTACAATAATATCCCTCCATATATAATTTTTTCCAATTAAGTCACTGTTTTCATTGAATTAATTTTTTTTTATTTCGGGTCGGGTCGGGTTTCTAAGTTATATATTCGGGTCGGGTTTCTAAGTTATATATTCGGGTCGGGTCGGGTCGGGTGAAACATTAATTTTGTCGGGTCGGGTCGGGTCACGGGTGGAGAACCCTTTCTTCTCGGGTCGGGTCGGGTGGCCCAAAAACCCGACCCATTGCCATCCCTAGTTGGAATTGAATTCCCAAAGTAAACAATAATAATTCATGCTTTGACAAAAAAAATTATTGAAAACTCATTTCTCCACTCCTAATCAAAATCAAACATTTCCTTGAGTATACTTTGATGCCATCATACAAAAATCCAATACCAACATTCTTGTCCACCAATCAAAGGCAATCAATTTGTGGCTAATTGATGTCCACAAAATTACCTCTCCGGATGTATAACAAGAAACAACATTGTATAAACATCGTCCTTCTATATATATAATTACAAATTTCTGCTGCTTTGCCATGTTATTTACATCCTACATGTAGATTGTATCATAGAGGAGAGGAAGTTGTCATAGCAAATAAGATAGAATTATTCTCAGGAACTGACTTCTGGTTTATTTAGCATTAACCGTATAAGATTTCCATGTGCCAAGTTGACACTACTGATATTTTTGCCATTACCTTATTACTCAAGCAACTAATGCCTCTTGGAGTTACGCATTCTTCAGTCTTTGCAAACCTTCCGCGGATCCTCGGTTGCCTGTCAGCAAGACCCTTTCTGCAAGCATACTGGAAAAATTGAAACATATCACGAGTTCGATGCGAACGTCGGGGAAAGGATCAGAGAAATAACCATGGACTCCGTACATGTCCTTCCTTGTTTGATTGTAAAAGATAGTGAACAAATGCAAGAGCTATGCATGGGGATTGAAATACCTTGATTTTCCTTGCAAAGTTCCTCTTTGTCTTCTTATTCCTGTATCTGGAAAGCTTTTCCCTACGATCCTCGGCGGAACAGATGCTGAGAATTATCGGTTGATCCGGATGCGAGCTGATGGTGCTCACATTACCATTGCCAAGAGTCTGTCATAAAAATTCAATATCAATAACCCTGCTCATCCTAAAATATGGTGCGTCAGCTAAAGAAATAAAGTCTTGAATCAGATTAATCTTAAGACACTAACCTGTATATCTCCTTCACTAAATGCTCTCCTCATTCCGAAAGCAGAGCGGAAATCCATTCGAGTGAAATCCGGAAAATTAGGTTTGATCACAGCCCCTTGCACCCATTCCATTGAGCTTAAACAACCCGAGCTGACACTCTTCTGTAACGGTAACGACATATCGGTAATACAGTGCACTTCGCTTCGGAGATATCGGTTTTCGTCGGTCTTCACAAGATCTAGGACGACGGGAAGTGGTGTTTCTATCACGGCTTGCGCCATCATATCCTTTTCACACTCATAGAGAACATCTAAAAGCTGCTCATTTTGGATTGATTCAACATCTGCTGCCTTGATTCCTTGGGACATTAATGAGATGTCACCTGGTTCTTCAATGATGGGTTCCGGAGCTTTGAACAGATCACCTTCTCCTCCGAGGTCGTACTCGGATATCATTGAGACCCGAACGGAGTTATTCTGCATTAGGCATCAAGAAATATAAACAAACATTATTAATCGTACAGATCCTGAATTGACCTACGTAAAACTGCAAGATTCTAGAGTAAATGTCATTGCCGAACACCCAGCTTGGCTCAGTTTGATGTGCTCTATTTCCCATTTACACTCATAAACATCAAAGAACAAAAACTAGTGGTTTTTTCCTCTTTTTTTTTTAATCTCTGTATAAGTGGCTTTAAAATTGAAAACGCCAATAACCAGTTCACAACTCTCCTCGATTCTTCAGAATTCAAACAAAGCACGGACCCCCTTTTCTCTCTCTCTCTCTCTCTCTCACAATGAAGAACCGATATGATTCGCTAGGAGAAAATAGAGTTCCAAACAAAAGTAAAGCAATAAAAGCGGAGCAGCCAAACTGGTAGATTGAGAAATTTTGGTTGGGTGCTTCGGCTTAGATGCAGGACTTAAATAAGCGAGACTACTTTATAATGAAAGAAGATATTATTATCCCAACTACCCATTGATTTATTAGGATTAAATGGTAACCTTCAAATGATATTAAAAATTATTTATTTTTGTAGAATGGAAATAAATCATATGATAATAAGGATTTATTAAGAGTTTTTTTGGTACATAAAAGTTTATGTTTGGAGTGGTTCCCTAATTAAGGGTTAGGGCATACTTAAGACGTAATTGGATACGTAGGAATTTACAGATTGCCCACCCAGAGTGACGGTGGTATAATTCGAACATGACATTACAAACTCAAATTCCTAAATCCCAACCACTTATGCCAACATAAAATATTAGTTTTTGTCTCAAATTGGAATCCAATAATCAATAATTATTTCCTTCTATTTCCATACTGAGATGGCATCTCTTAAAAGAAAGTAAATCAGCTGAATAACATCTCCTAGTTTAGCATGAAGAATGTCATTTGCACACTGATACTGCTTTTGTCTGTATGTAGTAGTAAGTGGCATATTGGTAAATGGGACCCCAGACTTGATGCCACTTCTTTGATTCTCGAGGTCCAAGAAAAGACAAACAAACACTTGACATTGGCTCAACTCCACATACATTAAAACCTCTTGTTTGATCCCATTGTTTTCCACCCCTACGTGACATGTTCAATTAGTAGGGAAATAATTATATATGTATGTATTATGGTAATAATTTGCTTTTGTAAGTAAGTTGATGCACATGAATATTTGGTATAAGGTTAAGTACGACGAGAATCTCTATTTTTGTGATATGTTTTTCTCTACTTTTATAATAAGCATTTTTTTAGCTCTTGTGACACGTTTCTTATGATTTTTAGTGTTGAATTTATTTTCCTATTTTGTAAAAAGAAAATAAATTGTTGAATTTATTTATTTTTCTTGAGAATCTCACATGATTCTGATCTATAAAAGGAAATAAATCGTAGAATTTGTTCTCCTGTTTTGAAAAAGGAAATAAATCAATAAATATATTTTCATAAGAATCTTGTATGATTCTGATATGTAAAAATAAATAAATCGTTAGATTTATTTTCCTATTTAAAAAAAGTAAATAAATCATAGAATTTAGTTTTCTGGTTTTAAAAGGAAATAAATCGTTGGATTTAGTTTCCTATTTTGTAAATGGAAAAAAATCAAAACAAATACTTTGATTTATTTACCTGTTTTGTGTAACACTCATAACCTGTATATCTCTCGAGATACGAGTTAAAGATGTTACATTAACGTTACAGACTTTCGTTGATCATAAATGCTTAAATTGTTTCATTTCAGAAACCTTCCGTTTTCAACTTTAAACTATTTCATTAACCGTGTAAAACCATAAAATAATATTAATCGTTCAAAACGAATCCAGTTCTAGGCAACAATTAGGCAGTTTAGTGTTGTTTCATATTTAAAACTGCCTAAATAATAATTAATTAGGAAACCATTTTAAACACACACACATACTATTCATTCATAAATACAAATATAACTAGACTAACCAAAAATAAATGATCATAGTTTACTATTACAGACCATTTAAAACAAATATGATAAAGCAACATACAAATACAATATACATTCCACTAATAAGTCAAAGATAAAATGTCTTACTGATACTGATATTAAGTATGATTTTCTGAAAGATTCTTGAGAGGCTCCTCACTTCACGTTCCTTTCTCTATCTGAACCTACGCTTGAAAATATCAAGTGATAAGTAAAACTTAGTGAGGCAGTAATATAGCTGATAACTCCCTAAAAAGGCTACTTTTATGGCCTTTTTCAATTAAGTTATTGTTTGTTTAAAAGCTCATTTTGGTCATTTTAGGATCATGTAGTTGCATATAGTGCCATTAGTGGTGGTGGTGGTGTTATTTTATCTTGTAAAGGTGTTGTATGAAGGAAAGGTGTGGTTGTTTAAGTTGTGCAGGAAATAGAAAGCAAAAGGTTACACTAGGAAGGAATGTCGTGACATCACAAGTTGTTGAAGCATATTGAAATGCCTTGGCATTTCTGACACAGTAAGAACAAAAAATTATTTTTATAAAAGGACAGCTGGCAAGGCACGTGTCTGATGGTTATAACCACCTGCACGGGACCATTTCCACATGGGAGAATAAAACTCACGCCCAAGGAGTGATTCTAGGGGTATGATGGGTAATTGGAGTGTTAAAGCCCATTATTACCCTTGGATATTATTTTTTATATACACCTTATATGAGAGAGAAGAAGGAGGACACATTGACCATCTTCAGTTAGATTTTCTTCACCTTCTCCACCATATTCTTTCTTCCATTCTCTTAGTGGTGTTCCTCAATTAACAAGCTCCAAGGAGTGGCGAACTAGGCGTTCGAGAGGAGCTAGCAAGCTAAGGCGAGTCGTGGTGGTTGAGGAGAGCTCCAGCTGCGCATGTCGAAGGCTTCTTCTCCCTTCCCGTTTGTTGTTATTTTTTATTTGATATTGGGCTGTTGGAACAAATAAATTTCATGTTTTGTTTCATGGATGATTTGAACCCCACCATGAACTAACCTTATTTGGTGGGGTTGATTTTATGGATGTTTGATATTATTTTAATGGTAAATTTAAATTTATCTTTTGCATTTACTTGTTTTGCTAATGAATGCTTCATCTTCTAAGTTTGTATGAGGCATGAGAGTGTCCATTACTTAGATGAAGGCTAGGTGTTCGAGAGAAACTTAGTCATTAATACTTGTAGTATTCGAGAGAAACATAAGTAAGATCCACATAAGTAATGGGGTGTAGTATTTTCTTAAGCTTAGAAATGGCATAGTAATAATATATCCTAATCTCTTAGTGCTTGAGAGAGACTAAAATAGGATTTCAACGACTAAGAGGGGTATTTTTATCAATAGCATAAGCTGCCATAATTAAGACTAAGAGGAGATGTCATGGCATTCTATTCTATTAGGTTTCTTTGACTAGAGATAGTGGGTGCACTTTCAGCAAACCCTGTCGAGCAAGTGACATTTAGATAAATCAAATCTACTTTAAAGATAAGTTTTAGCATTCTTAAATCAATCACTACCATTCATTCCCGTGGAAGCTTGTTGTGTGAGGATTATCAAACTATCATTCAATTATTGTTTTTACCGTTTTTCATTGTCTTGACTTTTATATCATTTTCAACATTATAATCTGCTCTTTCCACTACAGTTCCATATGCTACCCCATCAAACTATCAATCCACATCCATCGACATATACTTTTCAATACCCTGACATTCTCCATTATTACGTATCATCACTAACTATACTTAGATAGTGTATTGCTTTGTTTTAGTTAAACTTTGTAATTTCCACCAATCCCTGTGGAGACGATACTCACTCATCACTGTATTACTTGAGCGATTGTGTATACTTGCACATTATTTGCGTATAATTTTATAGTAATCACAACACGCAACAAGTTTTTGGCACCATTGCCAGGGATTGGCAGCGTGAAGTTAATTAGTTTGCCAGAGCATTTTATTTTTGCATCTTTCTTCTTGTATAATTTACTTTATATTTAAATTTTTTCCAGGCTTATTTGGTGTATGCCTAGAAGACATTCTGACGAGCCATTGGAACCCATAGAACCTGAGCTTGAAAGACTCTTTAGACAAAGGAGACGTGCTCAATGTGCTCGAGAAAATATGTATCAAATTGGAAATCAGGCCATTGGTCAAAATGATATAAATTAGAATGTCGGAGCATTACAAAATGTTGGACTTGCTGATAGGCCTCGTGTTATTCGTGATCATTTAAATCCAATGCTAGATGATCTAAATCATGGAATTGTGGCACCTGAAATTCAAGTTACACATTTTGAGCTTAAACGAGTCATGTTTAATATATTGAATTCCATAGGGAAGCTTGGGGGCATGACAACTGAAGATGCCAGGTAACATATTCACAATTTTTTGGAGGTTTATGATTTTTTCTGCCAAGAAGGAGTGCACAAGGATTTGCTGAAATTAAATTTGTTTCGATATTATTTGCTTGATCGAGCAAGGGCTTGGTTGAGTGGTGTTCGATTCGGTTTGATGGAGTCATGGGTCGATCTTTGCAAGAGCTTCTTATTTTGATTAACCCACCGAACATGAACACTCAGCTAAGCAATGACATAGCATCCTTTCGCCAGGGCGACGGCGAATCTATGTATGAGTGTTAGGATCGTTACAAGAGTTTTCTTCAAAAGTGTTCAAATCATGGTTTTCACGATTGGACTCAAGTAGTTATGTTTTATGATGGAGTCAATGCACCCATGAGGATAATGCTGGATGCCTCGAAAAATGGGACATTGCTGGTTAAATCACCTATTGAGGCGTTTACTATTTTGGATAGAATTGCCAATAATGACTATCAATTTCTTCCTCAAGACTTGCGAGTGGGAAGAAAACACCTGGAACATTCAAGTTAGATACCAAAGACTTGGTGTTCGCTCAACTCTCATATATCACTAATATGCTGAAAATTTTACAACGCTCAACTGAGGTAAAAGAAGTGAAAGCAACTAGCTTGACATGTCTGTTATGCCAAGGTAATCTTCATGAGAGCGAATGCCCTACCAACCATGAGTCCATCAAATTTGTAGGTAATTTCAATCGAAGCAATAATAATCCTTATTCTAACACTTATAATGCAGGATGGCGTCAGCATCCCAAATTCTTATGGGGAAATCAAAGAGCCCACAATGCTAGTCAATCCACTCGACAGCAAAATCACAATGAATCTCAAGGCTACCAAAATGCCATGCCATGGCATAATACAAACAAAGAAGCTTCATCTTCAGCAAGCATTGGTTCATTGGAAGCCACAATTCAATATTTTATATCTACCATAAAGACAATCCTGCAATACCATTTTACTTCAATTAAGAATCAAAGAGCTTTACTTCATAGTCAAGACGTCTTACTTCAAAGACATAGCTCGTATTTGAGAGCTTTGGAAGGTCAAGTTGGTCAGATTGAGGTGGCATTGCAAGAGCGTCAGCAGGGACATTTGCCAAGTGATACTGAAATCACTAAAATACATGGAAAAGAGCATTATAACGTGTTAACTCTTAGGAGTGAACACAAATTAACCAACAAGTCAAGGTTGGTGGGACACAACATGATGATTCTACACTCACTACTGAAGAGGTTGAAGCTGAGTTAGATGATGATATCATTATTGAGAAGGACAAAGAGGGGGTTCAACTAGTGAGCCTACCGAGGCATAAAATTCTGATGCCAAGGCGAAAGCAATTCCTACTCCTGCAGTTAAGGAAGCTAGACCCCCACCACCATTTCCACAAAGATTAAAATCATAATGATGAAGTTCAGTTCAAAAAGTTTGTGAACATTCTTGATCAACTACATATTAACGTACCTCTCTTGGAAGCTATTGAACAGATGCCAATGTATGCCAAATTTCTTAAGGAAATTTGTACCAAGAAGAGGAAAGTAGAGAAGTATGAGACAGTTGCCACAACAACAAAAAATTTTCTTCATTGAGTAAGTTACCACCAAAGAAAAATGATCTGGGAAGCTTCATTATTCCCAGTTCTATAGGAGCTAATTTCATTGGAAAGACACTATGTGATCTTGGTTCAAGTGT